GTGGTAATAGGACAGGTACTTAATGGGCAGAGTTTCTGTTTGGTGTGAGTAAAATATTTTGTAAACAGATAGCGGTGATGGTTGCAAAACAGTGTGAATGTAATTAACATCACTGAATTACACTTAAAAATGGTTAAAATGGAAAAAAAATATATTTATTTCATCACCATTTTAAAAAATTCATGATCCTGTTATTCTATTTGAGGAATGCAAAATATTTAAGTTTAAAATTTGACAATAAAAAACAAAAACTTCATTAGCCTAAGCAGAACACTTGAGTGTTCCTAGCAGTGCTACTGAATCAAACCAGAGTAGTTCCTTAAGAGCAGAAAAATAACAGTAACAACGAAAAGCTCATTTGTAAATGTTACCATATTACCATGATGATAAAAATTCTTATTCATGATAAAATGGACCATATATAGTTTAAAAAATTGTTCTCTTATCTACCCACAAACATAGATAAACAAATTCACATGTACACTGACCAAACCACTACAATTTTATATATTGAGGAAAAAAGTACCCAGGAGACTGAAAAAACACTGGCTAAAGTTTTTTTGTTCATAAACACAAGTTGCTAAATTTTGATAGATTAGGGAGACATCCACAAGACACCTACAACCAGAAAGCCTATTGTGTGAATTCTGGGGCCAAAGACAAATTTGTTTCAAAATTTAAAATGTCTTTGGTGGTCCCCACGTTCCACAAATATAGTATTTTCCCTTAAAAGTGAACAGATAGAAAAATCTTCGGGGAAAAAAAAACAAAGCTGGAGAACTAATACAATCTGATGTCAAGAATTATTATTAAGCTATGGTAATCAAGGCAGTGTGGTACTAGTGTTAAGACAGACAATTAGAAGAATGGAACAGAATAGAGAGTCCAGAAAAAGACCACAAAAATATGGATAACTGATGTTTAACAAAAGTGCAAAGGTACTTCAGTGGAGAAAGAATAGTCTTTTCAATAAACGGAGCTGGCACAACTAAATATCAATTTGCAGAGAGGGAGAGGAACAGGGAAAAGGAAGAGGCAGAGGAGAAGAAGATGAACTCTGAGTCATCCCACATATCATATAAAAAACTAAATCAAATTATATCATATATTTAAACATAAAACCTAAAATATAACTTGGTGCTTTAGAAGAAAACAGAAAAGTTTTGTAATCTTGAGTTAGGTAAAGATTTCTTCAATATGGTATCAAAAGCCCATCCATAAAACAAAAAACAAATTGGTCACTGGACATCATCAAAATTTAAAATTTTTGCTCTCTAAAAGACATTATTAAAAGAAAATACAAGCCAGACATGAAGAAAGTATTTGTAAATCATATATCTGATAAAAGACATATCTAGAATTTATAAAGAACTCTCAAAATTCAGCAATAAGAAAACAAAATGGGCTAACGATTTGAACCATCAGATGCTTCAAACAAAGATATATGAATGCCATATAAGATGAAAAGATATTCAACACCATTAGTCATTAGGAAAATGCAAATTAAAACCACAATGAGATCCTAATACAAACCTACTTAAAGGTTTAAAATTTAAAAGACTGAAAATACCAGATGTCGGCAAAGATATGGAGGAACTGGAACTCATACACCACACTTTGAAAAGCAATTTGGCAATTTCTTAAAAAGATAAATGTGTACTTACTATATGATTCAGCTATTCTACTTCTTGGTATTTATTCAAGAAAAATAAAGCCATATGTCCACACAAAGACTTGTACATGAACATTCATAGAAGTTTTCACTGTAGTAGGCACCCATACATCCATCAACACATGAATGGCAAGACAAATTGTGGTCTCCCCATACAACAGAACACTGTTAAGTAATAAAATGGGATGAACTATAGATACATGCAATGACAAGGAATGAATCTCAAAATAAATTTTGCTGAGTGGAGCCAGCACCCCACCCCCACAAAAGAGAAAATATCCTGTATGATTCTATTTATACAAAATTCTAAAAAAGTGCAAACTCATCTACAGCAAAAAGGAGATCAGTGGTAGTTTGAGCATGTAGGGGTTAGGAATGGAGCGGGAGGTATGGGAGGGAAGGATTACACAAAGGCACAAGGAAACTTTGGCGGGTAACAGGTATGCTCATCTTCTTGACTGAAGTGATCGTTGCACAAATATGTACACGTGTCAAAACTTAATAAATCATTCACTTTAAGCCGGGCTCGGTGGCTCAGCCTATAATTCCGCGCCTTTGGGAGGCTGAGGTGAGTGGATTGCCTGAGCCCATGGGTTCGAGACCCACCTGGGCAGCAAGACCTCATCTCTACAATAAATCAAAAAATCAGTCAGGCATGGTAGCGCATGCCTGTAATTCCGGTTACTTGAAGGCTGAGGCGGAAGGATCACCGGAGCTCAGCAGGTCGAGGCTGCAGTGGCCGGGAGTGGCCATTGCACTCCAGTGTGGGCGACAGAGTGAGACTCCAACTCAAATAAATAAATAAATAAATAAATAAATAAATAATTCACTTTAGATATAAGTTCCATTTTTGTTTGCCAATTATACCTCAATAAACCTGCTAAAATATACACAAAAATCAGCAGCTTATTTGGGATAAGTGAAAACTCTGGAGAAAGTCTTTTCTTTCAACCAGCAAAAGCCAAAATTCAAATTCAAGAGGTGACTTTTTAAAAAATGTATATGGTGCCAGCATTAAAACAAACAAACAAACAAATACCAGCCAGGCATGGTGGTTCGTGCCTGTAATCCCAGCACTTTGGGAGGCAGAGGCAAGAAGACTGCTTAAGCCCAGGGGTTTGAGACCAGCCTCGGCAACCTGGCAAGACCTCGTCTCTGCAATAAACCAAAAAATTATCCAGGCATGGTGGCACTTGTCTGCAGTTCCAGCTGGCTCAGAAGGATTGCCTGAACCCAAGCAGGTCGAGGCTACGGTGGCCATGAGCATGCCACTGCATTTCAGCCCACCCCTACAAAAGAGAAAATATGCTGTATGATTCTATTTATACAAAATTCTAAAAAAGTGCAAACTCATCTACAGCAGAAAGCAGATCAGTGATAGCTTGAGCCTGTAGGGGTTAGGTATGGAGCGGGGAGGTATGGGAGCCTGGGTGACAGAGTGAGACTCCAACTAAAAAACAAAAACAAAAATGAAAAAAAAACCCTAGATACTTTTCCTTTTACAAAATGCAAATGATAGATGTCTGTCCACTTATATTCTTTAAGCCAGGTTCTGATGCAATCTGTTTCTTAAAGCTTTTGCTCATCACTCAAGTTGAAAGAAGTAATTGTTCCCTCCAGTGAATCACCATAACACTTATGTTAATTTGCAGATATTAATTCAATGCATTTATCCAGCTACCCATTGCACACTTATTAAGTGCCTCATATGGGCCAGACACAGCCTTGGCACTGGATATATGAAAGTGAGCAAGGTATAGTTTATTTCCCTCATAGTCTAGTGGCAAAAGAATGACATAAAAAGAAAGAAAGAAAGAAAGAAACGCTGTAACAATTACTTCAAGAAACATTAAAAAGTACAATAGGACCACACAGGAAGAAATTCATCTTGTCAGACACACTATTTTGTCCCACAGTGATTTGTTCAGGGTCCATTTCCCTCTTAGACTGAAACTCCCTGAGAACAAGGGACCAGGACTCACTTTATCTACTAAACTACCAAGGACAGGACCTGGTGTGGATATTTCATAACTGTATATTCACTTGAATGGAAACTGCATTTCACAAGCATCTGCTCTTTGACTAGAAACCACGGCCACCATCTTGCTACCTTCAGAGTTGAAGTCTAACCCTTATCTACTTCTGCCAACAAAGACATGACAATAATTTGAGAAAAGACAGAATCAAAACCTAAATCTAGATCCCCAAATTCCTACAGGAATGGACATTCTCTCAGCGACAAAAATAGGAAAGAGACGGGTGAGGTGGGGGCTTAATCTGCAGAGATCTAGGAAACAAGAATGGGACCTATGATTTCTGCCATGGATTCTGGGAGACCCCTGGCTTTCTATATGTTCCTGCAATCTGGTATTCTTCTCCCCAGGGAAATACACATGCCGAGCATCCATTGAATCTCTAAAGAAATCATACCAGTCTCATTGTGAAAGCAATTTCTGGATGTATGTCAGTTCAATCTGCTATAGTAAAATACCATAAACTTGGTGCCTTATAAACAACAGAAGTTTATTTCTCACAATTTTAGAGGCTGAGAAGTCCAAGATTAAGGTGCCATCAGATCCAGTGCCTGCTAAGGGCCTGCTTTCTGGTTCATAGATGGAGCCTTCTAGTGGTGTCCCCACATAGTAGAAGGATACCACAATGGGGCTAGCTAGTTCTCTGGGGCCTCTTTTATTAAGGACACTAATCTCAACTATGATGGCCCCATCCTCATGACCTAATCACTTCCAAAGGCCCCAATTCCTAAAACCATCATCTTGAGGGCTAGGATTTCAACATATGAATTTTGGAGAGATACAACCATTCAGACCATAGCACTGGAGATTACATTTGTGATTTTCTGCTTTCCCATGTGATCACAAAGCTCTTATCTATGTTCAATTTCTGAAAAGGCAGAGAGGTAGAAGAGGAACTGTGGGAAATTGTGAGCACAGCATGATGGAATAACCCAGTTTTCTCATTTTGATCAATATATATGCAATTATGGAGTTTCAGTTATGACAAAACTAGCACAAATTAAAAAGGTCTCCCTCCAATTACAACTGAGAGATGTGAATTAAACACAAGCAGAAAGTCTCCACAACTTCCTTCAGTGCAATCAAGCATGACTAGGATAACTTTCCTCTCAATCGCAAAGATAAGGCAGATCTACTTTTTGTATATATATCCAACAGAAACAATGGGTCTTAGAAGGAAAAAGCAGTACAAGTTTATTTAAATTTGTTTGGTCCTACCAGCATGCATGGTTCCAAGGGAGGGCAGAGGGCCTCTGGGAATCAGCAATGTCCTGGGTGCTGGACTGGGCTCTTACCTGTAGATGGGGTCCTGCATCACCAGCATCTTGCTCTCATCCCATGTCCACTCCTTTTTCTGCAATAAAAGAAGCTGTAAATGAATAAGTTAGGCTTGTCCTCGGCTACAGAACCAGGACACACGTTGAGCGAACATATGCATTCTGCTCCTGGCCTGACGTGTCCTCCCTAAGAAGCCTAGAGTTCATTACTCCAGGGCAAGTGGAAAATGTCAAGTGCCTACTCTGATCAGTTTCCTTCAAGCATGTGGGAAGAATGTCCCTTCAGGGCACAGAGTATTGGCAGAAGTCAAGGAGGCCTTAGGGGACCGGGGGAAGACTCTAACAAAATTTCTTGGAGAAATTATAAGGGAAAAAAGACGATAAATCAATCCAGAAGAGTGGGAGAGGCAGGAGGAAGAAAAAAGAGAAAGGAGCAAAGAGAAGCCTTCAGGGAGTGTGAATGATGCAGTCAAATGCAAATGAAATGTAGAGCCCAGTAAGGCATGGTGGCTAAAGTCTGTGATTCCGCACTTTGGGAGGCTGAGGCGAGAGGACTGCCTGAGACCAGGGGTTTGAGACCAGCGTAGGCAACTTGGCGAGACTTCGCCTCTACAATAAATCAAATAACAATAATGATAATAATAAGCTGGGCGTGGTGGCATGTGTCTGTAGTCCCAGCTACCGGGAAGGCTGAGGCAGGAAGATTGCCTGAACCCAGCAGGCTGAGACTGCGATGGCCATGAGCATGCCACTGCGCTCCAGCCTGGGCAACGGAGTGAGACTCTGACTCAAAACAAAAAGTAAAAATGAAATGTAGAACACATCCTCCTTTCCTTAAATGGGGTATGGTGGGAGGAAGGGTGTTCCAGAGGAACCAGGTAAGCTAACTAGTACATTCGCAGAGTGACCCATTAGAGGTTATTCATACTGGCTCTGAACCTAACAAACTATGAATGCAAAGGAGACCCTCTAAAGCTGCAGAACGAGGATAGAAAGGGGGATGGGAGTGGGAGGAGAGTGGGTTCAAGTGCAGTGCTTGCTGAGGTGAGCAGCACCCCAATGTGCAGGGAAAGCGCCAGCATCAGCAGCCAATCACACCCCATCAGGTACAACCCCCGGGTGCAGGGACTGAGAAGCCTGCTCCACCTTCACTGGCCTTTGTCAGAGAGACAGTGCTATCCAGGAAAGTTAGAGGAAGAATACAGTCATCTATGAAAGACAGACTCCAGTGGAGGGAAAGGTCAGGGAAGTGTATAATGGGTTAATTGAGTGCTTTTAGCTACATGGATTTTTCAGAAAAAATGCACAGGGTGACCATTTTCAAAACATATGGGGTTTAGAGATTATTCGCCCTCCGCCAGGGGCTGGGGGAAACTATGTCCAGGCCCTTAGTGACATTAAAGCCTTTTGTCATCAGCTTTACCCATTCACAACACTATACACACCATGCACACGCATGCGTGCACCATTCAATCCCTGTATTTTGATTCAACACCTATCCAACCCATAGAGGTGGATTTTAGACTGGTTTATAAGTATTCAATATCAAACATTGTTTTGCAGACAAAAACTTATTATAGCTAAAAATTAACTATTTCTAAAAGATGTTTTCTTATAATTGTTACTGACTACTCCATACAATTTTAATATATGAATGACCTATTTGGAGCAACACAGAAACTAATCTCTTTTTTAAGTAAGAACCCCTTCAAATACATGAATACAGCAAGTCCAGACCTTTATCTTTAAAAAAATAATCTCAGGTTTTGCAAACATTCCTCACTTAACAAGTTTTCCAGATTTCCTGCTACCATAGTTTAATTTCTTTGTACGCAATATACTTACCATGTCCCCTTCATAACTTGGTACTCTGAACAGGATCCCTGATCAGCATGTTAGAGAGATGCATTACCTTCGAAGTTCCCAGCCATGATACTTCTGCTAACCCAGCAAAGCATTTTTTAATTGTCTCATAACTGTCACACATTAGGCTGGTTTCCAAATGATGCATCGAAATTTTTCAGAGTTGAAGTCCAAATACTTGGATGTTTATTTTAAACATATAATCTAATTGTTCACCACGGTAGTTCTTTAAACAGTAAACTATAATAATATGCTTAAAACATGGCTTGACCTCAGGGCAAGCTTTCCACAACACAAACATTAAACTAAGCCACATCTATAGCCATGAGCACATATCCTGCCTGCACTTTTAATTCAATTCTGTAAGTGATGTTTAAGAAGCTCCTACTCTCTTCTGTTGAGTCCATCTACTGAGTTGATTTCAGTTAGTGCATTTTTCAGTTCTAATATCTCCATTTGGTTCTTTATTTTCTTTGCTGAGACTTTCTACATTCTCACTTGTTTTAAGAGTGTTTGTAGTTGCTCATGGCAGAATTTTTGTGATGGTTGCCTTAAAATCTTTGTCAGATAATTCTAACATCTCTGCTATCTTGGTGTTATCATCTCTTCATTGGAGTTGAGATTCTCCTCATTCCTGGAATAGTGAGTGATTTGCAGCTGAAATCTGGACATGTTGAGTATTAGAAGACCCTAGGTATTACTTAAGCTTTCTTTATTAACTGTCTTCCTATGATATTGCTCAACAGGGGAAGGAAGAAGACGTCACCTTATTACTGCCAGGTGAGAATTAAGTCCAGGTTCCTACCTGGTCTCTGTTGACACCCAAGGGGGAAGGGGGACCCAAGGTCTGGACTTTGCTGTATTACGCTGGGTATGGGTGGGAGTTCTAGCTCCCCAATAGGCTTCCCTTGCTTGGAGGGGTAGGAGTGACTTGTTACTGTCCCCCATGTGGTCTCCACTGGCAATACACAGGGTAAGTGGCCTCAAACAGTGGTGGAAATCTAAGTTCTATGGTCTCCAGACACCACAGGGGAAACTGGAGTGAGGAGGGTAGCCTGGGGCAGTCATTATCAGCTGGCAGGGATAAAAGTCCTGGCATCCATCTCAGTCTTCCATGACACCAACTGGTCAGGTGGCCGAGACACCTCATTTCAGCTCAGCAAGGGCAGAAGCCTAGGCTCCTGTTCTGCCATGCCTGGCCTGGGTGGTGGTGGGGCCAGTCTTCTCTGCATTGGCTGGAAGAAAGTGGTTACTGTCTAAATGTTTTCCGCCTTACTATGCTGTCTTTTTTCTCCTCTTTGGTTAGAGACAGCAGAATTATGTTGGGGCTTTTATGTCTGTTCCTGTTGGCATATTTGGGTTGCCAGCTTCTACAGTACCAAGCCTAGGATATATGAGGTGAAAAGAAAACCCAGGGAATTCACAACTATGTAATTCCTGGGGTCCCAAGGTTCCTATCCAGGCTGCCTTTTCTCTACCTCTCAGAATCTTATGTTACTTCATATACAATGTTCAGAGTTTTTGGCTATACTTAGGAGGAAGAATAGGGAAACGTACAATCTACTCCATCTCCCCAGAAGCAAAAGTTTGGTACACACACACATATATAATACACACACACACGTATATATATAATTTAAAAAAAACTATAGTTGCCTAGGATCCACCTTTTTGGAGATATGAATACAACAGGTCTGAAGTGAGGCCTAGTAATGTGTAGCTTTAACATTTCAAGTGACTCTGATGTGATCCTAGCATGAAGAACCATTGTTGCGCACCAAAGAAAGGTTAAACTGAAGTCCCCAATCAGAGGATCTCTTTTACAAACTGCCTACTCCTCTTGAGTCCCAGTTAGGAGCGGCACAGGGAGGGACCTGTGACATTCCAAAGGTGTTCAAATGACTGTGACCCCATAACCACTGTTCTTGGCCAGGGCCCACCTCCAGTGGTACTCAATGAATGGCTATTATGCCTTAAATATCTGGTGAGTTAACAGCAAAGGTAACAGCTCTGCTCCTGAGGAAATGGATTCTCACTTCTCTCATGTTCTTACCATCTGCTCCTAATAGTCCTTGATGCTCTACTGTGATTTTCAAAGTTAGTTAAGAAGCAACGGCTCAATGTACCAAAGAGGCCATGAAACTCCAAGACACTGCCCACCCACTGGGTCATGCCATGTTCATCTGATGAAAACAATCTTGCTAACAAGGCATGACCGGCTAGGCTCAGGATCCACACTTGACTGACCGTGGAGAGGGTGACTGCCATTGAGAGGCTGGCATAAAACCCTACGATGAAAAGACCCAACTCTACCCAATAAAATCCCTATTTGGAGGATATCAAGTCCTACACTGAGTCTAGGCTGAGCCCCAGTAACGGCAAACAGTTTCTGTAACCTGCAAATATATTTCCCCTCAAACTGGCTGCAATGCTAAGAGCTGGACACATCAAACACCAGCTCATGTTTTTTCCTTCTCACCTCATAATATGCATCCATTCTTAAAGGTAACATGGGCAAGACTCTTCTTTGCAATTCTAAGGAATGTAACTAAGATGTTTACTAAAAGGAAAGAATAATGAGGCAAAATGATATAGATTCCCTGGCAAAAGATTCTCTGGCAGACGTGAATAGGAGGATGGGGGAAACCAAACTTCAGGGGTACTTTGTGTTAATTTAATTAGAATGAACATTGGCAGGGGCTACAAATACTTTGCTTTTAAATGAGGTTCCAGCACCCATACAGAATATCCTGAGGAGGGGGAAAAAACATAAAGATCTTTTCACCCACTTATTTATTTTCCTTTTCTGAAAATTCCATTAAAGTCCAGTCCTTTTCCTTTAAAGATCTTGCAGTAATCCTTAGATTAAAAATATTAAATCTAAGAAGAGATCAGGAAATCATCAAGATAGATCAATGGGTATGGGGGGGGGTTGCAGGAAGTCATCAATGTTGTGGTTATTCAAGAATCTAAGGCAAGTATGGTTGTAGTTGTTTCTTCTTGGAGTCAGAGTCTTACTCTTTCACACACAGGGTGGAGTACAGTGGGGCACAATCATGGCTCACCGTAGCCTCAGTCTCCTGGGTTCAAGGAGTCCTCCTGCCTCAGTCTCCTGAGTAGCTAGGACTACAAGCATATGCCACTACACCTGGCTAATTTTTTTATTTTCTTTTTTTGTAGAGATGAGGTCTCACTATATTGCCTAGGCTGGTCT